AATCCAAGTATTATTAAATATGGTGATGTTGAACATAAAATTATACAACCATCAACTGAAAATTGGAAACAAACGGAGTTAATGGGATTAATGAAAAATCCAAGAAAACCAACAGAAATAGTAGTTTGTACAGATTCATATTGTTATTCTGCCTGTTCATGGGTAACAAAAGTATTAAAAGAATGTGGATGCGCTATTCTTGTTGGATTTGATGGTGATTCATATGGTAAAGATGATGAATTTGAAGTAGGATTATCACCATCTAATAATATTCCAAATATAAATAATATAGATGAAGATAATATTTTAAAACAATATGGATATAATCTTGGATTAACTGTTATAGAAACATATAGATTTAATTATGAATATGATGAAAGTATTCCTAGAGAATTCTTAACTGATATGATAGATGAAAGAGTGAATATATATCAATTTGATCAAACAGAAAAAGTGATTAAAGAATTTGAAGAAGAAACAAAGAAAATAGTAGAGAAATACCAAACAAAATGTAATCCAAATAATAAAAGATTAGTTAAAAGAGATGAAAAATGTGATAAAGAAATTAATATAGAACATGGACATGGAGGATATGAATGTGGAGATAATGGAGAATGGAGTACAAAATGTGTACTATCATATTGTGATTCAGGATACAAGTTTGATTATAATAATAATAAATGTATTGAAGATGTATGTGTTTATCCACCAACAGAATCAGAATCAGATAATGGAACACTAAACATGACAGTAAATCTAGTCATGATAATAATTGGAATAATCACATTAATTATCTAATTGAAGAAGGATTAATTTAATAAATAAAAATTAGGTAATAAAATATAAAGAGAATGAAATAAATAGATTTATATCAAATAAAATAAAATAAAGAAGATAATTTAATAATAATAAGAAGAAGAAATAATAAATAGAAATAATATAAATAAAAAAGAATAAAGAATAATAAAATAGAAATAAATGAAATAAATCATGAAGAAATGTTATTTATCAATAATAATATAATAAAATATAAAATCATATAACATAAATCATAAATAAATAAAATAAGAAATAATGAATAATATATTAACAAAGTGAGTAAGAAATAAAGATATAATAACATAAAATAAAATTAATAAATAAGAAATAAAAGATATATTAATAAATAATAAATCATAAATAAAATAGAATATGAAATCTATCAACATTAAAATATATTTTAATCAATAATAAATCATAATAATCATTCATTCAATTATATTAATATAATAATTTGAATAAAAGAAATAAAGAATAAACAAAAAGATAATAAATAATACAAAGAAATGAATAAATTAAATAAAGAAAAGAAAAATAAAGATGATAATAAAATGATAAAGAAAAATATAATAACAAACATTTTAAAGATAAAGATATAAAAATAAATAAAATAAATGACTGATAAATAAAAAAGAAGTCATAGAAATTTAATATAAAATAAGATATAATAAAAAGTGTGTAAAAAATAAAATAAACAAGAAATTAAAATAATAAGAAATTAAAATAAATAAGAGAATAAAAAATAAAGAAATAACATAAAATAAATAAAAATAAGTAAAATAAGAATAAAAAGAATGAAAGAAGAAAAT